TATGTCCGGCCCAACCGCGAGCATTCGATTTTAAAGCGCGTGTCCATGCATCATTTGAATTGTTCAAGTAGGCGATAGTAGGCCTGCTTTGTTCAACGTGTGTCCGCGGACTCCGCGGGAATACTTTCTGAACACGTACGTTGCGGCAGCAGTCCACATTCCTTCCCCGCCTCCACTCGTAACCTGCAAATTGTGGCACACGGTGAAAGCTGGTTTCGACGGACACGTAGTCACCACCATCACCGCATCGCTTCGTCGTCTGCAGGCCACTTTGCGATCCCAAACGCGGACACACTCCTCGATTCCCTCGCAAGTGTATCGAGCCAACTCCGCCTTTCGCTATTCTTCTCACCCGGACATGCTCTTACCATCGACTATAAGTGCTCGTCCAGCCGTGCGCTCTGCAGCTCGCACTCTTTCAGCTGCACGCACGAAGGACCGTCTCCCTCGTCACATTCGCCCCTTCACAAGTAGCAGAGGGGTGAACTCATCGATGCTGACAGGAACATCACCAGACGACGAGCGCTTTCCCGAATGGGCATCTGAAGAAGCGCGCGCAGCCGCTTCTTCCCTCCTGCATCGTTTTCCCGTCGATTCTTCCGAGCCCGTTCTGATCACTTCTCAGCGCATACACTCTACGCCTCTGCTTCAGCTCAGGGTGCTGCTAGAAGAGATGGTGCCTCTACCTCGCACAAGGGCTGATCGCAATCCCTTGGCGCTGAGTCTGGCAGAATCCCTCAGCAACGGTTTTCCCTTGATACCCAGCGAGCACTTGTCCCTCTTCACCCCCTTGGTACCTTCCAGCGCTCTCGGTCAAGATGGCTCAGATCAAACATTCAACCCACCTGCTCCCTTTACACGTAGAATGTGGGCCGGCGGAGAGATGCACTTTTCCCACGGCAGACCGCTCACGGTGGAGCAAGTGGCAGAAGAGAGGACGTGGATCGAAAGGGTGGACATCAAGAGGACAAAGGCGGGAGATGAGATGCTGGTGGTTTGGGTGAGAAAGGAGATTGGGGATGGAGAAGGAGAGAGCATCGTCGACTTGAGATCGTGGGTGTTTCAAAGGACGCTTGATCCATCAGCCGGCAGTCGGAAGCTGTTGCCCGAACCATCTCGAATTCCAGCAGAGGAGGTGCATCGTCCCTTGCACGTTGCTCAGCCTTCCACGCTCGGTCTGGCGCCGGGAGCAACGCCAGTGATTCAAACGCCCGCCACACTCTTTCGCTATTCCGCGTTGACGTACAATGCGCACGCTATCCACCTGGACGCTCAATGGGCTCGAGAGAGGGAGGGACATCCAACTACGGTTGTGCACGGGCCCATGACACTGAGTCTGCTCTTGCGCAAATGGCTGGCAATCAACACCTCTGATCCTTCGGTCAAGGGATTAGCACAGGTACCTCAGCTCGGCAGCGTCAATTATCGAGCCAAAAGGCCTCTATGGACCGGCGAGAGGTACTGGGTGGGTTGTCAAGAGGGCCAAGAAGACACGATGCTAGCCGTTAAAGATGATGGCACCGTAGTGATGGAGGCCAGCATCTCCAGGCTGCAGGGCGACGCAACATCTCACAAGGACGAGCACATACGCGTCAAAAGGAAGGGCTCCAAATGAAAGTCTTCACCCCTTCCCTCCCCTTCCCAATCGTGAATGTCGGATCATCACTAACGACGAGACTGTCTTGTGGGCGGCGAGCCATGT